ATTATATTTCTAATATTCACTTATAAGTGAGTTTATACTATGTGTGTTTTTCTTCTTCTGGGATACCTCACTCAGGATGAGCTTTAATAGTTACCACCATTTTCTGGCAAATTTAATAATTTACTTGTTTTTAATTGCTGAATAGTAATCTATTATGTAAATGTACCACAATTTCTGTATCTGTTCCTCAGTTAAGGGCTATCTGGTCTGTTTTCAGATTTTGGCTATTACAAATCAAGCTGCCATGAACATAGTTGAGCAAATATCCCTGTTACATACTTGAGCAATTTTGGATTTATGGCAAAGTAGGATATACCTGGATCTTGAGGTAGCACAATTCCTAATTGTCTAAGAGAGCATGAAATTGATTTCCAAAGTGGTTGTACACATTTACATTTCCACCAGCAACAGAGGAGGGTTCCCTTTCTCCACATCCTTTGCAGTGTATTGTCACTTGAAAATATGATATTAGCCATTGTGATATGTGTATGGTGAAAATTCCGGTTGTTTTGACTTGCATTTCCCTGATGACTAAGGATTTGATCATTTCTTTAAGTGTTGCTCTGCACCTGATATTCTTCTATTGAGACTTCTCTGGTTAGCTCTGTACCCCATTTTTAATTGGATTACTTGATTTGTTGCTTTTTAAATTCTTAGAAGAATAAGTGTGGATGTGTCTTGAACTCATTGGCATAGGAGACACCTTCCTGAACAGAACACCAACAGCACAGGCTCTAAGATCAACAATTACTAAATGGGGTCTCATGAAACTGAAGAACTTCTGTAAAGCAAAGGACTCTGTAATCAGAACAAAAGGGCAGGATCCAGACTGGGAAAGGATCTTCACATACCCTGACATATATGACAGAGAGCTAATATCCAGGATATTTAAAGAAATCATGTTGTTTAGTTATTTCGTAAATGTCTTTTTCTTTTTTAAAATCAAATTTTTATTTTTTATATTACTTACACTTTATTCACTTTGTATCCTAGCTGTATTCCCTTCCCTTATTCCCTCACAATGCCATCCTTCATCCTTCATCTCTTCTCATGCCACTCTCCAAGTCCACTGATAGGGAAGGTCCTACTCCCCTTCCATGTGACATTAGCTTATTAGGTCTTATCAGTATATTGTATTGTCCTCCTCTGTGGTCTGGAAAGGCTGCTACCATCTGAGGTTGGGGGAGTGTTCCAAGAGAATGCCCCTGAGTTCATGTCAAGTACCTTGGTGTGACTCTATCCAAGCAAGTGAAAGAAATATTCGAAAATGAAAGCAATGCTAAGAGGAAAATTCATAGCAGTAAGTGCCTTCAGGAAGAAAATTGAAACATCTAATACAAGCAACTTAAGGGCTCACATAAAAGCATTAGATAAAAAGAAAAGAACCAGACACACCCAACAGGATAGACAGCTGGAAATATTCAAGCTCAGGGTGAAGTCAAGCAATTAGAAACAAATAAAATAATTCAAAGAATCAATGAAACCAAGAAATGGTTCTTTGAGAAAATCAACAAAACAGACAAACCCTTAGCCAACTAAGTAAAAGGCAGAGAGGAACTGTTCAAATCAGCAAAATCAGAAAGAAAAAGGGGGACATAACAACAGACACGGAGGAAATCCAAACAATTACGAGGTCTTACTACAAAAGCTTTAATGTCACAAAATTTGAAAACCTAAATGAAATGGACAATTCTCTTGATAGACTCTATTTACCAAAATTAAATCACCATCAGGTAAATAGATTGAATAGTCCTATATCCCCTAAGGAAATAGAAGCAGTCTTCAACAGTCTCCCTTCCAAAAGAAGCTCAGGGCCAAATGGTTTCAGTGCAGAACTCTATCAGACCTTCAAAGAAGAGCTAACTCCAATTGTCTGCAAACTATTCCACAAAATAGAAATAGAAGGAACACTACCAAACTCATTCTATGAAGCCACACACAGTCACCTTGACACTTGAACCCCAGGAAGACCCAACAAATAAAGAGAACTTCAGGCCAATCTTCATTATGTACATTGATGTAAAAATACTCAACAAAATACTTGCAAACCGAATACAAGAACACATCAAAGATATCATCCACTATGGCCAAGTAATCTTCATCACAGGTATGCAGGGGTGGTTCAATATACGGAAATCCATCCATATGATCCACCATATTAACAAACTGAAAGAAAAAACCACATGATAATCTCCTTAGATGCTGAAAATATTTTGACAAAATCCAACATCCATTCATGTTTAAAGTCTTGGAGAGATCAGGGATAAAAGGCACATATCTAAACATAGTAAAGGCAATATATAGCAAACTATAGCCAACATCAAACTATACTGAGAGAAATTTAAAACAATCCCAGTGAAATCAGAGTCAAGGCAAGGCTGCCAACTCTGTCTGTATCTCTTCAACATAGTTCTTGAAGTTCTTACTAGAGCAATAACAGTTGAAGGAGATAAAGGGGATACAAATTGGAAAGGAAGAACTCAAATTATCAGTACTTGCAGATGATATGATAGTTTGCCTGAGTGACCCCAAAAATTCTACCAGGGAACTCCTACAACTAATAAACACCCTCAGCAAAATGGCCGGATGCAAACTTAACTCAAAAAAATCAGTAGCCCTCCTGTATAGAAAAGACAAAAGGGTTGAGAAAGAAATCTGGGAAACAACATTATTCACAATAGTCACAAATGACATAAAGTACCTTGGTGTAACCCTAATCAAGCAAGTCAGAGATTTGTATGAAAAAAATTTCAAGCCTTTGAAGAAAGAATTAGCAGAAGATATCAGAAGATGGAAAGATCTCCCATGCTCATTGCTTGGCAGGATTAATATAGTAAAAATGGCCATCTGACCAAAAGAAATCTACAGATTCAATGCAATTTCCACCAAATTAGCAATACAATTCTTTACAGACCTTGAAAGAAAAATTCTCAACTTCATATGGAATAACAAGAAGCTCATCAATGCCAAAACTTTCCTCTACAATAAAAGATCTTCAGGAGGTATCTCCATCCCTGATCTTAAGCTGTACTACAGAGCAACGGCAATAAAAACTGCATGGTACTGGCATAGAAACAGAATGGTGGATCAATGGAACTGAACAGAAGACCCAGAAATAAACCCACACACTATGGACACCTGGTCTTTGACAAAGATGCCAAAACCATACAATGGAAAAAAGACAGCACCTTCAACAAATGATGCTGGTCTAACTGGATATCTACATGTAGAAAAATGCATATAGATCCATACTTATCACACTGCACAAAACTAAAGTCCAAGTGGATCAAAGACCTCAATATAAAAACAGACACATTAAATAATTTAGAAGATAAAGTTTGGAGGACCCTAGAACTCATTGGTACAGGAGACAACTTCCTGATCCCAACACCAACAACACAGGCTCTAAGAGCAACAATCAATACATAGGATCTCATGAAACTGAAAAACTTCTGTAAAGCAAAGGACACCGTCATCAAAACAAAACGAATGCCTACAGATTGGGAAAGAATCTTCAGCACCCTTTATCTGACAGAGGACTAATATCCAGTATATATAAAGAACTAAAGCTGAAAATCAACAAACCATGTTATCAAGTTAAAAATGGAGAACAGAGCTAAACAGAGAATTCTCAATAGGGTAATATCAAAAAACAGAGAAACATTTAAAGAAATGCTCAACCTCATTAGCCATGAGTGAAATGCAAATCAAAACGACCTTGAGATTTCACCTTACACCCATCAGAATGGCCAAGATCAAAAACATAAGTGACAACACATGCTGGAGAGGTTGTGGAGAAAGGGGAAACCTCCTCCACTGCTGGTGGGAATGTAAACTTGTACAACCACTCTGAAAAGCAATCTGGCACATTCTCAGACAACTAGGAATAGCACTTACTCAAGATCCAGCCATACCACTCCTATGCATATATCCAAAAGGGAATCAAGTACACAATAAGGACATTTGCTCAACCATGTTTGTAGCAGCTTTATTTGTAATAGCCAGAAGCTGGAAACAACCCAGAGGCGCCTCAACTGAAGAATGAATAGAGAAATTGTGGTACATCTACACAATGGAATATTACTCAGCAATGAAAACCAAGGAAATCATGAAATGATGGAAACTGGAAAGGACCATTCTGAGTGAGCTGTCCCATAAAAAGACACACACACACAGTATATACTCACTTATATAGACATATAATACAGGATAAACCTACTGAAATTTTTACACCTAAAGAAACTAGGAGTACAGAATCTAGAGGGAGGATTCTGGCTAAAATGTTCATTCCCCACTGAGAAAGGCAAAGAGGATGGACATCCGAAGAAAAAGAAAACAGGATACAAGTTAGGAGCCTCCCACAGAGGGACTCTGAAAGGCTCTGCCCTGAACACTATCAAAGCAGATGTTGAGACTTAAAACAATTTTTAGTTTTTCAAAATTAATTCTTTGGAAATTCTATGCATAAATCGACTCTATCTTTATCATATCCACTTCATGTCTCTTCCCTCCAAGTCTTCTTGAGGTTGTGGAATCAAATAGCAATTGGATTGAATTGGCTGTGTTTTCACTGTGAACCTTGTTTTTCAGGACAGTCTGGATGTCATGAAGCATTATGGCTTATATTTCCTGTTAGTATACATGGATTAGAGTTTTACACTTTGTTAATTAGAGTTTTACACTCTGATAATAACTTCCTCCTTTTCTGTGAGGTAATCTGAGTTGATTGAAGAAAACCATACATTTATTTTTAAGGTTAACATCTACTGTTTGTGATAAATCTGATTGAGGTAACCTAATTTTATTGATAGCCATTTTATTCACTGAACAAAAGAAAATAGGCTTTTCAGACTTGGATATTTCTAAAGAAAATGCTTTTTATTATGTAAAAGGAGACAGATTATACCCACATATGCATTCAAAAGGTATAAAATTCGAAGAAACTTCTCAGCGATGGACTGTCATGGACCACCCCTGAAGCAGACAGGGTTGATGTGCACTTAACAATTTTTCCTGGTTATTCGATACTTCAGATTTTTGAGATGAAATATAGTGAAATGTATATCTGAGCGTAGGCAGTTGGAAAGGTTAAATATTGCCAAAAACTGATCATTTCTGAGACTTGATTTTATGTAAGGAAGATGTTGCCAGTTTGGGAAATTTTCTTGTAGCTTTTCTGTAGGATAACCCTAAAAATCAAAATAAGAGTTACTTGTTGAGTATATTGTTAGTGTTCCTTGTTTTTTATATGTGCAATCAGAAAAATACATTCAGAAATGTACTGCTTCCATCAAAGGTATGGGTTTTCATTTATGTAGGCCAGGAGACTGTCCAGCAGTTCCTTTTTTAGGAAGTATGATCAAGACTCATATGTATTTGTTCTGATATGCAATGGCTCACAGACAAGTACTTCTTTTCACAAACACAGGAAAAGTAGAAAGTTTCACTTTGACTCTGAGACAGTGGAAGAGCTAGTGTCGGTTTCTCACTTAGGACACTCTTACATGTCATTTGCATATCATAGAAGCTGATATGAACCACATTTGTTTATACTAATCTATTTGTTTATACTATACTAATTTGTTTCAAGTAAATTCATTTTCCATGAAGTTTATGGATGAAAATCTGACCTGTAATGCATACCAGATGGTGATTCAATAGATGAAGCCTAGGGATGACTATATTAGAAGGAGCTGAGCTCTTTCAGTCTATCCGGGACAAGAGTCCTCTAAGTGCTTAGTAGTGACAGGTGTGTTTAATTATGATCCCCACCATGATAGTGATGAGAAGCATCTCTGAGAAGGTTGGAGATGCCAGCAATCTCATAGTCCAATCTAGTGAACACCATCCATAAACTAATTTCTGTTGCTACTACATATTTGTGATTTTTGGAAATAGTCATAATGTAAATACATGATATACAAGATATCTGATAGGCAACTGCCATGAAAGGGTCCTTAAACCCCCAGGGGAGTCATGACCCACATGTTGAGAACCACTGTGTTAGGAGAACATTATCCACAAGATCAGATATTTGCAAGTTAGTCTGGAAATCTGAGGTATATTCTTTTATTTTAATTTAGACAATCCACCTCTTTTATGAATGAGAATAAGTAATGGAAATTTTCTCACCTTGGTGAATATCCATCTAAGGTCATCCAGGAGTTCTCTGTTGTTCTCTTCAATCTCTTTGGCTTTTGAAAGGATAGTTTCAGGAACATCGTCCATGGCACTCAGTTCAACCACCAGATGGTACAGAGGGGCATTCCAGGCACCCACAAAATTGATCAACATTTTTAAATATTTTTCGGTCTGAGCAAACATAATAGAACCATTATTTTGTTGCATTAAATAATTTCAGTAAAGCAGGTTTTTTCATAAAATGCTCATGAGAAGAAGCTGAACTGAAACATATTTTTACTATGGGTATATGACCCATGTTGTAAAGATATTGCATGGTGTGGATAGATTTAATTTAAACAATCCACCTATTATATGAGAAAATGAAAAAAAATATAATGCTTATAAATTAATATTTTTTTCTGAGATCTGGTCATCATGTTTTGTTCTCCCTATGAAATCCTAACAGCCTCTGCTCTAGTGAGGTATTTATTATTTCTTTATTTGTCTATCAATTGGTAAAACAGGTTTCTGGGACTCAATAGGCATCATTAAGATTTTACTGAGGAAATAGAGATATCACCATACAGGGACAAGAAGCTCAAATCATTTTCACTCAGTGATTCATAAACACCAAATAAATTATGGCATTCATTAATGTACATATTTATGATTTCTATATAAATTAAAAAAATAGAACAAAGATACAATGAAGAAAGCATGGTACTCATGCCTGGGCTTTCCTGTTGCCTCTGACAGAAAAGGAAATTTGTTGCCATGTATAGGTTAAGAAACATGACACAACATTGAATTTAATAATGGAATCAATGGAAATCAAAACAGAATATTACCTCTCCAGTGTTTGATGCTCATATCTGATTTAAGCCATTCACTTTATTGATGTTTGTTAGTTTCCCCAGTGGTCATGAAAAATGAGAATAGGAGTATGAATATGTACATGGCATTAAGGAAAGGAGTACAATAATAGTGATCGAATTATATGGCGATAGATGTTGTCATGTGATTCAGACTGAGATCTGAAACTGGTTAATGTGCCCACCTGGATTCTCAAATTTCATTCAAGTGTAAATATCCTGTACAACTTTTCAAAACTGCCATTTCTTATTATTATTTACTGAAAAAAACCACCATTTCCCAGTAAACTATTTGTGAAGTTCAAATACAGCAATGCTAAGAGATTGCTTGTTGACAATCTAGCAAAATTCTATGTCTGAAGAAACACTTATTTTCTTGATATCTTTGTCCTGATTTTCCCTTATAGTTGTCATATAATATTCAACTTAAATAAAATTCTGTTATGTTATTACATGGACTCATAATAAGGAGATGTTTACAATCACAAAATAGAACTGCTATGATATATAGACCTTATGACCATGAATTAGGGCATTGTTGCATACTAGGAATTCACAGGACTCTTCTGCTTATCTGGCTTTTGCTTAAGGTATAGAGAAAAATAAAGAGACAAAGAGACATATAAAATAAATATAGAACCAGGACAGATTTAAAAATCAAGAATAGAAGTGATAGTGTTATTTAGAATGCCACCGTAGGGAACCAATTAACAACAGGTAATGAATACAGCTACATTTTCACCTATTACATAGGAGTGAGTATATAATCATAAACAGCCAATTTAGCTAAAAATGTCCTAAAAATAGTAAGTAAAATTTCAGTGTAAGTCATTCCTAAAATAGCTCTTTCTAAATGGACTATTTAAGAATCTGCTCCATTGTTATTGGTTAATCGATTTTATTTATAATTTATCAAGAATATAATGTAATTTTTTGTACTTTATGTCAATTTAATTTTGTATACCTTATTACTGCATTTATCATAATTCCTGTAAAACTAATACAGAAAAACCCAGTGCATTGCTTCTGTTGTTTTGTGAGAAAATCATGAAGAAAACTCAACTGGATATGTTTTCTTTTTTTTAAATTTCTACTACAGTTTATTCATTTTGTATCCCAGCTGTAGCCCTCTCTCTCATCCCCTCCCTCATTCACCCACAATCCTGCCCTCCCTTCCTCTTCTCCTCCCACTCTCCTTCCCAGCCCACATGAGAGAGGAAGTCCTCCTCCTCTTCCACTTACCCTAACCTATCAGGTCTCATCAGGACTGTCTGCAATGTTTTCCTCTGTGGCCCTGGTAAGGCTGCTTCCCCACTCAGGAGGTGATGGTCAAAGAGCCAGCTACTAAGTTCATGTCAGAGACATCTGCTGTTCCCCCTAGTAGAAACCTACTTGGACACTGAGCTGCCATGGGCTACATCTGCACAGGAGATCAAGGTTATATCCATGAATGCTCATTGTTTGGAGTATCAGTCTCAGATATTGTGGTTTAATTGGTTTCCTTGTAGAGCCCCTGTGTCCTCCAGGTCAATCAATCTTCCCCTTCTTTTATAAGATTCCCTACATTCTACCGAAAGTTTGGCTATGAGTCTCAGCATCTACTTTAATACCCTGCTGGGTAGAGTCTTTCAAAGGCCCTCTATGGTAGGCTGCTCTCCTATTTCCAGTTTTCTTCCTCTTCCAGTGACTATTCCATTTGCCTTTCTGAATAATGAGGATTGATCATCTTACCCTGGGTCGGTATACAGATTTTAGAATGATTATTCTCTATTATATGTCTAATATTCACTTATGAGTGTGTATATGCCATGTGTGTCTTTCTGCTTATGGCATACCTCACTCAGAATGATCTTTTCTAGTTCCAACTATTTGCCTGCAAATTTCATGATTTCCTTGTTTTTAATGCTAGTAGTATTCCACTGTGTAAATGTACCACCTTTTCTGTATCCATTCCTCAGTTGAGGGACATCTGGGTTGTTTCCAGATTCTGGTTATTAAGAATAAAGTTGCTATTAACATGGTTGAGCAAATGTCCTTGATTTATACTCAATAATTTATACAGCAACAGAGAATGTAGTCCAATTAAAAATGGATTACAAAGCTAAAAAGAATTGTTGATAGAGGATTATAAAATGGCAGAGAAACACTTAAAGAAATGCTTAATGTCCTTAGTCATCAGGGAAATACAAATCAAAACATCCCTGAGATTTCACCATACACCTATCAGAATGGCTAAGATCAAAAACTCAAGTGACAACACATGCTGGATAGGATGTGGAGAAGGGAACCCTCCTCCACTGCTGGTGGGAATGTAAACATGTACAATCACTTTGGAAATCAATCTGGTGCTTTCTCAGACATTTACAAATAGTGCTACCTCAAGATCCCGCTATACCACTCCTAGGCATATATCCAAATTATGCTCAAGTACACAACAAGGACATTTGCTCACCGGAGTATATATGAGTTCATTTCTCCGATATGGAGGGTTTGTGATCTTGGCGTGGCAGTGATTTCTGGCAGTGAAACCAGGATAATCCTCCCTCAACATTTTTGTAAGCTGTAAAAAAACCCAAAATCAGTTATATTTCAAAATTATATAAATGACTTCATTAACATAATATTAATGCATTTGTTGGTTATATAAATTTTCAACATAAAACTTCATAAAAACTGATATTAAAAAAATTAAGAAACTTCCCATCAACTAATACTTAGTCTCATGTATGTGCATCTTAATTTGGCTTTTCACCCAACTTTTTTCACCCTGTCTTCTCATTCTCTTGCCTTCCCACTTTTTTAAAAAGTTACTATATGGAAGGCAAACACTGAAAGAACTAAACTTCTCAAGAAATAAATGATGTAATTGTCATTTTTCTCTAGTATTTCAGGACAAAACTATAGCACATACTTATTAATCTTTCTGCTTTCTGTCTATAAAGACTGGTATTAACTTACTCAGGTATAAGAATTTTGAATTCATTAATTGAACATTGAGTATATAGCTGTGTAATATAAAGATTATAATAGTTTTAGAATGAAACTTTTTACTCTGTTACAAAATTACTCATGAAAATAGACTATTTAAAATAACTATATAACTCCAAGTCAACAAAATAAGAAAACATTAAATTTATTTAGTTCATTAGTGATTGTATGATCAATGAAATATTAAATTTTATTAAATATATAACAGGATATCTTATTTAGTTTGTAATAATCAGCTAATTCATGAAAGGTTAGTAACTATTGCAAAGGTTAGGAAGTTGAAAAACTGTCAGTTAAGAACAGGAAATAATGAAGACACTGTAATGCTTTCTCATCTAATCTGGAACCATTGTTGGGAGGCATCATTGGGTAGCACCTGGAAAGATGTTAGGTACTTACAATATTCCTAAAATGTATGGAAGAGCCATCACTGCGGAACTGAGTCATGTTAAGGGGAAAAAAATAACATCTAGTCAGAAAAAAACCAACATAAAGACATGTTTATTTCAAACAGAATCATATTCTCTTGATGCACAACATATTGAATTTTTGTCTATTTTTTTCTTTGGGTTTTCTGAGTTTGAGAAATGATATGTAGCAATCAGCCTAAAAGGAACAGATATACTTCTAATTCTGCCCTGATATTAGACAAATTCTAACACTATAAATTCCTAAACCAGAATAACTAGTATTTATGGGCTTCTTAGAAATCTAGATTTCTTTCTTCCTTCCTTCCTTTTTTCTTTTTCTTTCATTTCTCTTTTTCTCTCTCTTTCCCTTCCTTTCTCTCCCTTCTTTCTTTCTTTCTTTCTTTCTTTCTTTCTTTCTTTCTTTCTTTCTTTCTTTCTTTCTTTTTCTTTCCTTCCTTCCTTCCTTCCTTCCTTCCTTCCTTCCTTCCTTCCTTCCTTCCTTCTTTCTTTCTTTCTTTCTTTCTTTCTTTCTTTCTTTCTTTCTTTTGCTATCTTTCCTTATTTTTGCCTCTTCACATGCTTTAGTTTACCTGTGTTCCAAATATATAGTTCACTGCATCATCCATACTTAGAGTGAATATCTTAACTGCCCTATTTGAACTTGGCCAATTGAAATTCATATCCTTGAATGTAACAATAGGAAATGAGAAATCACTCCCTAGTTATATTTTTAAAGGTCTCTAGTATAGGGTAATTTTTTTTCAGAGAAAAATATAGAGAAATCATTAGATTCATTGACATTTTATGAAACTGTCCATTTGACCCTTTCCATGTATCAGTAGTTGGTATGTCCTTTACCAATGAAGTCATATTTTCTGATATTTGAGTTATGATGCTTAATGTCTCAGGTTCTAGTACAATTCAAACATTAGTATGAAGATTGAGGTACTTACAAATTCTTGATACATTTGAACAGCAAGATTATAGACTGTTTCAGCTCTGTTGATGGCATTGTTAAATGTTTCCACAAGGGGCTCCGTACAGTCTCCCTCTTTGGCAAGACTCGGCAGAATTGCTGCAGCTTTCTCCCACAGTAGTAGGTTTGACATCACCAAAAGCAGGAGTGTCCCTGCTACTTAGAAACAAAAGCCACTTAGGAATAATGTATTAATCTGAGGTTTTCAAGGTTCAACTGATTCAAAAAGTTTTATCTGTCTGAAGTTTTCTTTACTACATGACTTGGTGTTGTATATTTGGCATGATAGATATAATCTCTGACAGTACTTAGGCAAGTTAATGTGTTTTTCTCTATAACAATTTGAGAAGTAATTGAGAAATATGAGAAATAATTTCCCATTACTTCTGTTTCAGGAGTGCTTCTTTTTTACAAACATCTGCAACTGAAATTAATTCTGAACTAGTATTTTTAAGCCCTTATTAAGATGGTATGATAACCTTGGAGTTTAAGCTCAATTTCATTTACCAACCCCTCGAGGATATTTTTTAATTTTTATTTTTTTATTATAATTTATTCCCATTGTATTGCAGCTGTAGCCCCTACCTCATCCTCTCTCATTTCCACCTTTCCACCCTCTTCTCCTCCCTTGACCCTTCCCCAATCCACTGATAGGGAGGTCCTCCTTCCCTTCCATCTGACCCTAGCCTATAAGGTTTCATCAGGACTGGCTGCATTGTATTCTTCTGTGGCCTGGTAAGGCTGCTCCCACTTCAGGGGGAGGTGATCAAAGAGGCAGCCACTGAGTTGATGCCAGATACAGCCCATGTTCCTCTTTTCTAGGGAGTCCACTTGGAGACTGAGCTGCCATGGGCTACATCTGACAGGGGTTCTAGGTTATCTCCATGCATGGTCCTTGTTTGGAGTGTCATTCTCAGATAAGACCCCTGAATCCAAATTATTTGGTTCTGTTGATCTCCTTGTGAAGCTCCAGTTCCCTCCAGGTCTTTCTATCTCACCCTTCTTTCATATCATTCCAGATCAACCTCAGTATAACTTAGCAATTCCAAACTGACTTTGTATTTTAGGACAGCATTCTCTTCATCTTTTGTATTAGTAATCATGTCTTTTTTTATTGTCTAATATGTAGAGGAAGCAAACAGATAAACTGTGCTATCTATGTTCCAACAGTGTCCAAAATGATGATATCCACCACAAAATTTAAAAACAAAAATTTCCTTGCACTCTTGTATACTTGTACAGTACATTTCAAGAAAATAATTTCAAAAGATATAAGAAAATCTATGCTGGAGTATTTTTTTTTTTTTGTAAAACTGTGACAAGTATTTGTTCATGCCAGACTGAACATCAAAGATTCCTAAGAACTTCATTAAAACAAACTAAACTAACACTTTCATTGAATCTTTTTCATAGAGAGACATAGAAGAAAATTCACTTACAGAAGTGACGTTGACTCAATGGCAGCTCCATCGCTGAGGAGTTCCCAAGCAAGATGAGTGCTGACTCTGGTGAGCTGCTTCACTGGAGTCATGCATTCAGCTGGTTTCCTCCTACTATATATACTAGCAGATAAGCCCCAAGGGTATGCATAGCCGTGCGACAGCAAGAAGTCATGTTCATACGTGAACCATGTCCGTATATCTCCAGGGAATGTTAACAGATTTATTGTCACATACTTTTCTCTTTCTGGAGGATTTCCTTTTGCTTCTTCCTGCGTCATGGTTCCTGTCCAAGATAGTTTTGATATCTCTGAAGCCATCTTAGTGGCTTGATGACAAATGGTCAGGAATAAATTGTTGTTCATAATAACATCCACTTCCTTAGATTCTAATATTTTCTATCATCTCCTTCATAATGGTTTTGGACAGAGAAGGATTCCTTATTGAATATTAGAACACCAGGATACAGCATTAATAAATTATCCATGGTGTTATTATGAATCTCTACCAGTAATTACTAAATATTGTGAGTAGTGATTCTTTAAAACCTAAGATGACTGTTAAAATAATCCACATGCTTAATTTAGACATTTAAAAGTCAGTTTAAAAGACATCAGATATATTTAACTACAACGACAACAACAAATCCCTAAAACTTTCACTAGATCCTATGGCCCTTCAAGTTAATGAATATGCATTGGCATAAAATACCAAGTGTGGATTTTTTTCTTGGAATCGGTATTAATTACATCAGAAATTCATTGTATTAAAAAGTATTGTGCCACTGTTGCCCTAGTGAAAATAGTTTTATACTCTTACTGCTAGAATTAGCACTTTAGTCATAGCAACACTGATGAAAGTTCTCCAAAATCAACTCTATTGTGGCTGACAGATTTTGGTAGCCACTCAACATAGAGGAATTTTCCACTTCAATGCCAAGCAATTTCCTCAGGCTGTTAACAGAGAATACATGCTGCCTAAAGGGTTGAGGCCAACTATTTAGTTCTGATGCTCATTCAAAAGAAGACACAGCTGCAAAAATGGTGTGAATGAACAATCCTCACTCAGAATGACAAATGGGATGGACATTGGAAGAAGGAGAAAACAGGAAGCAGGACAGGAACCTAAAACAGAGGGCCTCTGAAAGACTCTACCCAGCAGTGTTTCAAAGTAGATGCTGAGAGTTTTGACCGAACTTTGGGCAGAGTGCAGGAAATCCTATGAAAGAAGGAGGAGATAGTGGGACCTGGAGAAGACAGGAGCTACATAAGAAGAGAAATAGAACCAAAAAAAAAAAAAAAAACTGGGCACAGAGATCTTTTTCTGAGACTCATACTCCAACCAAGGACCATTCATGGAGATAACCTGGAACCACTGCTCAGATGTAGCCCATGGCATTTCAGTATCCAAGTGGGTACCATAGAAAAGGGAACAGGAACTGTCTCTGACATGATATGAACTTAGTGGCTGGCTCTTTGTAAGTGGCCTCAGAAACCCATCTTTCAAATCAGTCTTATGAAATGAACTCAATCTGAAATCTGGGATTTTATTGAATAAACATGTGGTCTCACAGGTACATTCAACTTCATGTATATTATTTTTTTATAAAATATTTAACAGCCTCATTTGTATCCTTCCTGATGTCTCACCAAATAAATAATCTGTACAGAGGTTGTATATATGTAATGAAAGTTTTATAGAGATTCACCATTTCTGTAGAAAAATAGTACCTCCTTCAGGAAACCATAAATTCACTTTCTGGTTCTGTATATAAATAGACCTTTATTACGCCTTAGCATTGACATTGCTCATCATAGACAAGCCCCAAATGTATATTATTTTTTCCTTCCAAAGCACACGGTTGTGTGGGTTAGCATGGATGGCTTCATCACTTCTTTTCTAAGCCTATGACCTGATGATCCCACTATGATCTGTTTTGGTTGCTGCTCCTGGGACTGTGACATATGATTCAGGAAGAGTTGGCGTCAGGCTAAGGATTATGAAGGAACAGGTCACACTCAGAACAGCCAAGCTTAATACACCTCCAGTTGTGTTCCACTTATCCACAGTTTCTTGCTTGGTCTTAATCCCCTAAAGCTGTTTATCTGTCAGTAGTATTTTAGAAAAGTACCCAAGTTTGGGTGAATAATCTCCTCCCCACAGACTCCCCTTTTTCAAGCAGGGAATGGAGGATGACACCAAACCATGGATAAATCTTTCTACCCAACCATTTTTTGTTTTGTTTTTCCTACAAGACATGAAGGGATAAAGATGGATCAGAGGTTGACCAATGACTGGCCCAACTTATGACCCACACCATGAGAGAGAACCAACCTCTGGCACTGCTAATAATACCCTGCTCTGCTTGGAGACACAAGCCTAGAATGAGTGCATTCTAAAGGCTTCATTAAACAGCTGATAGAAACAGTGCCAGAAACCCACAGTTAAACAAAAGGAGGACCTGGGGGAGTTTTCTGGAAGATTGGGAGGAAGCACTGAGAGCTGGAGGGGTCAAGGACATTAAAAGAAGACTTGCAGAGTAAACTATCCTAGGCACAAGGGGGCCCACAGAGACTGAAGCACCACCAAAGCTCTTCCTTGAGCTAGACCTATACCACCTACACATATGTAGCAGATGTGCATCATGGTCATCATGTGGTTTGCCTAACAGAGGGAGTAGGGACCTTCTCTGACTCTGACACCTGCCTTAATCCCTTTCTTCCAGCTGAGTTGCATTCTCTGTCCCCAGTAGAAGAGAATGAACTTACTCATTCTGTGACTTAGGTGCTGGGGTAGGTTGATACACATTAGGGATCTTCCCTTTTCTGAGAAGAAGGAAAGGGAGACAGGGAAAGGAGGGAAGAGGATTGGGCAGAGATATAGGTAGGGGCAGGGCAGTGTTAAGGTTGTAAAGAGATAAAATAGGTAAAAGTAAAAGAAATATAAAAAGTCATATAGGTCACCATGATACTTAGAATCTCTGTTTAATTAGTTTTGTTGTTGTATTTTTTTGCTGCTGCTGTTTGTTTGTTTTTGTTGTGTTTTGTTTTGTTGTTTGGTTTTTCAAGACAGTGTTTCTCTCTGTTGACTTGACTTTCTGGAACTTGCTCTGTAGACCATAAAAATCCACTTGCCTGGTCCTTCCAAGTCTTGGAATTGAAGGTTTGTGGCACCATTGACCAGCAAGAAATTAATGTATAGGGGAGCTTCTCTAGAACAAGCTGGAGACTCAAAACAGGTTAAGATTCTTGGAGGATATGGGGGTAAATCTGGATGAGGGTTGAAGCAGTGAGGATTAGTATTAGGATGAAGAGGATATCCCCTATAGCCAGGCAAGACTTCCAGCAGGGAGGAGACACCAGTGTAGTCACAATGCCTTTGATACAAATTTTACCTTGCCTACAAGGTATGCAGGGACAAAGATAGAGCACACATTAATGGAAACGCTGATGTCTGGCCAAACTTGAGACATACAACATGGGAGAGTGTCAACTCCTGACATTATTATTGATACTCAGCTATGCTTGCAGACAGGAAACTAGTATAACTGTCCTCTGAAAGTCTCCACTTAGCAGTGGATCAAGACAGATACTAAGGCGTACAGACAAACATTAGGCAGATCTCAGAGGGTCTTGTGGAAGAGTTGGGGGAAGAATTGAGGGGCTTAGAGGAAACAAGATCTCCAGGAGAAAACTAACAGAGTCAACCGATTGAAGTCATTGGGGGCTCACAGAAAATGAATTATCAAAGAAGGAACATAGACTGCATCTAGGCCCCCTAAAGATATGTATCTTGTAGACAACTTGGTCTTCATGTGGGTTCCCTAACAAGTGGAGTGGGGTAATCTGACATGGACTCTGCTGCCTGGTTTTTGGTTTACTTTCCCCTAGCTGGGCTTCCATGTCAGGATTTAGTGGATGAGAATGTGCTTAACCGTGATGATACTTGATATACTGGAGTGGGTTGATGGGGTGTGGCACCCTTATTCTGAGGAGAAAGGAAAAGGGGAATGGGGGAAGAAAGTGGAAGGGTGGGACATGGAGGAGAGGAGGGATGGGTTCTAACAAGATTAAAATGAAAAGAATAAATTTTAAAAATAAAGATAAAAATTAATAAAATTGAAAAATGTGTTTTCATATTTTGTTCATTTTCAATTTTTAATTTGTATTTTTTATTAATAACAGTTTATTCACTTTGTATCCCAGCTGTAGCCCCTCTCTCCGTCCCTCCCAATCCCACTCTCCCTCCTTCAGCTCCTCCCATACCCCTCCATAAGTCCACTGATAGAGGAGTTTCTCCTTCCCTTCTCTCTGACCTTAGCCTATCAGGCCTCCTCAGAAATGGCTCCCTTGTCTTCCACTCTGGCCTGGCAAGACTGTTCCCTCAGAGTGAGGTGACCAAAGAGGCAGCCACTATGTTCATGCAAGAGAGAGCCCTTGTACACCTTACTAGAGAACCAACTTGGAGGCTGAGCTGCCATTGGATATATCAGTGCAAGGATTCTAGTTTATCTCCATGAATGGTCCTTGGTTGGATTATCAGTCTCAGAAAAGACACCAATGCCCAGATATTTTGGTTCTGTGGCTCTGCTTGTGGAGCTCCTATCCACAAATGGTCTTTCTATCCCCCTCCTCTTTCATAGGTTTCCATGCACTCTGCCCAAAGTTTGGCTTGAGTCTCAGCATCTGCTTTGATACCATGATGGGTAGAGTCTTTCAGAAGCCTTCTATGGTAGTGTTCTGTCCTGTTCCATGTTTTCTCCTTCTTCCAATATTCATCCCCTTGGCCTTTCTGGGTGAGGATTGATCATTTTATCCAGGGTCTTACTTCTTGCTTAGCTCCTTTAGGTATACAGATTAGTATGTTTATCCTATATTATATTTCTAATATCCACTTATAAGTGAGTTTATACCATGTGTATCTATTTTCTTCTGGGATAACTCAATCAGGATGATCTTTTCTAGTTCCCACCATTGGCTGGCAAATTTAATAATTTCCTTGTTTTTTATTGCTGTGTAGTAATTCATGTGTAATTGTGCAACAATTTCTGTATCCGTTCCTCAGCTAAGGGACATTTTGTCTGTTTCCAGATTTTGACTATTACAAATTAAGTTGCCATGAACATAGTTGAGCAAATGTCTTTGTTGTATATGAGCAATTTTGGGTATATGGCTAGGAGTGTTATAGGTGGATCTTGAGGTAGCACAATTTCTAATTATCTGAGAAAGCGGCAGATAGATTTCCAGAGTGGTTGTACAAGTTTACATTCCCACCAGCAATG